TTTTATTTTAATATTGTAGAATGGGCATAAAAAATGGAACGAAGCAAATGTTGATCGAGTTTTTAAAGCTGTTCAGGACTTGCGGTAATTCCTTTTTGCGGAATACTTTACCGAATGGAAAAGTTTTCAATTATATTAATACAAGAAGCGGGGTCTTTTGTGGCACGGCTGCGAATTTCTTTAATGTCTTGTTAATCGCTATAAACCGGTAAAGCTGTTTGCCTTCTCCTACCGCGCTGTATTGTTCTTGTTTAGCAAAAACTTTTGGTTAAATATAGAGAGGTAGAAGCTTAATTTCAAAACTTTTAAGATCGTCTAGAAAACTCTAAAGAACTTAGGTCAAAAATTAAAACGATTATTTCTCTCTAAATTTGTTTGTTTTCGCGGTTTAATATGGTGGCACTTTATATAAATTAATCTTCTTTAGTCGTTATTATTGATCTGGTACGGTTGTCGTCTTGGTCTTGCACAAAGCCTCGACAAGTGATTTCTTAACTATATTTTTCTCAGTACTTTTATTTGACAAATATTATAGCATTGTGTAGTCCTAGTACTTATCAAAAAATAAATAAAAAATATCAGTAACTAGTGGATAAGAAAGACATTCTAATAAACAACACAACACTGGAAATTGTAGTTTAATTTCAATGTTAATACTATTATTTCAGTTTATAAAAGAAATAAGATATATTAGCTAATATACTGATACAATTTAATTAAAAATATTCCAGAAGGGATTCAAAATAAGTTAAAAAAGCTGACTTTATTTGAAAAGTTTCCAATTATGTTTATACCGTCGCGAAGTCTTTTACAAATTGTTGTCAGTTTCTTTAAAATATCTCGCTAATCCCTCTGAATGGAGCTCAGAACCTGTCTTCTCTTGTCTTCTTTTTTTATCATTTTCCGATTAGCTTGAATATTGAGCTAAAATCAGTAATGTAATAATGTTAATTTGAAAACTTAATCGATTGTCTTTGGAGCTGTTGGATAATTAATTGAACACCTTAATTAAAATTTAATTATTTCTTTTTTGTTTAGCAGACTATTTTATAAAAAATGTCTATACCTATGTGGCGGATTCATCTCTCCAAAAAATCCTTTATGGGTATTTCTCCACTGCACTGCAAGAAAATCTACAAAATAAAATAGTTAGTTTTTGTAAACACTTCTGCGTTAAACCTAAACGGACACTGCTTGTCAGAAGTTATATTTACAGTTATACAAATTTGCCTAACAAAGAAAAAAATGCTTAACGTTTCGGAAAGTTTATCTCTTAACTATCTCTTTAACTATTCGAGAACACTTTACTTTTTTAAAACTGTACGTCTACAAGAAACGGTTGACGTTCTGTTAAAATGACATTATATCAAGTTAAACTTCAAAATTACAAACAATTACCACCTGATAACAATTGCTTAATAAGGTAAAACCAAAAAGCCCCAAACTTTCTGTATGATTATTTTTTAATTTTACGTATGTTGTGTTTATTTATGTTATGTTCTTTAAAATTAAAGAAACGATTGCCATAAATTACTAACATCTACAGATGCATGAGCAATACATTTATTTTGATTAGATTGAATTAAAAAGCCTCTTTTATCTTTCTTTTAGGGGCTATCGCTTCTTTCATTATAATTTTGGCGTTATTAAAATTTATTGTGTGTCCTGTGTCCCATGAATGCTGACAAATCTTAGATTTGTGAAAATCTCCCTTTCTTACATAATCTTTATGTTCTTTAATTCTAACATTTAAGGTAAAATTATATTAATGTAAAATTTATCGCATTCATATGGTACATTTTTTGTTTGTTGTTCTGTATTCATTGGTTTAGTATGTGATAAAATGGATCTAAGTGTATTTTGTGTTTTGAAAGATGTTCGTATGTTATATTGTTTTCCTATCCATACGAGGCGTTTCGGAAAAAATAAGAAGGATATCTGTTTTAAAAAAGTAAAGTGATCTCGAATAGTTGAATTTAAATATTTTAAATAGCTTTTTTCTTATTCCTTGTATTTTTTTTGCTTCCGACGACGGAAAGAGATAAACTTTCCGAAACATTAAGCATTCTTTTCTTTGTTAGGCAAATTTGTATAACTGTAAACATAAATTCTGACAAGCAGTGTCCGTTTAGGTTTAACGCATAAGTGATTACAAAAAATAACTATTTTATTTTGTAGATTTTCTTGCAGTGCAGTGGCGAAATACCCATAAAGGATTTTTTTTGGAGAGACTATTTTAGTATAAATGCTGTTTTTGTTTGTTACTTTACGTTTTCTACATCCACATTTTAAATAATTTTACGTCTATAATTTTGACATAAAGTTATATATGTATATTTTACTATCTCAATTCAGGTTTAAAGAAACAATTCTAATGATTTTATCTAAATCACAAAAACTACTAAACTAATCATAAAAACACACTAAATAAAATGCAAGATTTGCAAAAGATTTCGACAGGCGACCAAATAATGACAGAAAACACAATTTCCCGGCAAACTGAAATGACATATAACAACTATCAGTATCATGGATCATTTCGTTGAGAAATTTAGCGAAGAAGTGCGTGGACACACTCGTAAATGTGTTATCAGAATAAGAGTTGATTTTAACACCCTCGCAAAGTCGGTAGGTCATTATATTGTCAAGACTTGGGTTTATATCAAATTGGGAAAAAATGATGTTTTAGTAAGCCAATTCGATGTAAACTCAAAGGATTCGTTCACATAACATCAACCTAGACATGTTTTTTATAATGAACATTATTAATTAAACAATTAAAGTCAGGTCGATGTAACGTGATAAATTCAAGGCGAAGTTCGTCGCAGGTATCGGTGGTGGAATATATTGTAAATTGTTTAATGGCCGTAACTGCCGATAAATGCAACGAGAAAACGAATATAAAAAATTTCTGGAAGTTTGTTAGGTGTAGGAAAGAAAGGAGTTGTATACCATCAGTCATGCACTATGGAGATGCCAGCAGTTCTGCGGGTGAGGATATAGTCAATTTGTTTGCGGAGTATTTCTCTGTAATGTATAGCGACAAAGTTTGTGTCCCGATAGACTCCTTACCAACTGGTCACGTCAATCTTCCTCATTTGAGTTTATCGATCTCATCAGTTTATGAAAATCTCTCTGCCTTAGATACAAACAAGGAGCCGGGTCCAGATGGCATTCCACCATATATGCTTAAACATTGCAGTTTCCTATTTTCTACGCCACTCCATATTATTTTTAATCAATCTTTAAAAACAGGAGCATTCCCATCCTATTGGAAATCCAGCTTTATCACCCCCATACTTAAATCGGGCGAAGCCTCACAAGTCAGCAACTATAGGCCTATTAGTGTATTGAGTTGCATTCCTAAAGTGTTTGAGAGCCTGGTCTGTGATTATCTGGCAGCTAGTTTAAATGGTTATCTTATCAACCAACAATTTGGATTTCTTCCACACCGCTCAACTGAACTTAACTTGCTAACATTCACAGATTTCCTTTTGGGATCATTTGAGGAGGGAGCTCATGTCCATGCTATATACACCGATTTTTCCAAGGCGTTTGATAGGGTGAACCATGAAATTTTAATCAAAAAACTGTCTGGCATTGGGATTCAGGGCGTGCTTCTGGGATGGCTGGTGTCATACCTTACTGATAGAACACAGATTGTACGCATCCAGAGTTTTCAGTCTTCTGAAATTAGTGTACCATCAGGTGTCCCGCAGGGCTCCCACCTGGGTTCGTTGCTCTTTAATATTTACGTAAATGATATTGCATCCTGTTTTATCTTTTCATCTTTCTTTGTTTTTGCGGACGACCTAAAATTCTACTTGAAAATAAAACAAGCCCAAGATTGTGATAATCTACAGACTGACCTGGACCGCCTATCCCAATGGTGCGATCTCAACGGAATGGAATTCGAATTGAATAATAACAAATGCCAACTCATGATTTTCAGCCGGGGTAGAAATCACATCCATCACGATTATGACATCAAAGGCGCTCCATTACTGTTGGCCTCTGAAATCAAAGATTTGGGTATGCTCCTAGATGGCCATTTATCTTTTATCCCACATATATCGTTAGTAGTCTCCAGATCACTACAAATGATTGGCTTTATCAAGCGTTGTGTAAGGGACTTTACGAACATTTCATGTCCTAAAGCTATTATTCTGCTCCTTGGTGAGGCCGCATTTGCACTACTGCTCCTGTGTGTGGTCTCCCTCTTATGACGTCCATATACGTGCCATCAAAAAAGTTCAGCACAAATTTCTGAGGTATGTGTCCTTCAGGGAACAACATGGTGTGGGTGAAAGCGTTAACTATTCAGACCTGGAAAGCTCTCTTCGAATGACATCCCTCCAAATTCGCCGCATGCATAGGGACCTTTCTATGTTTTACAATGTGCTACCTTCTAATTCTCATGCCCCTAATTTAACATGTAAAATTGGGATTCATGTCTTTTTGCGTACGACTAGACTAAACCATTCCTTTCAGTTAAACTCCCATCGCACTAACTACGGCCAGAACTCATTCCTCACTAGATCAGCTAGACTAGCAAACGATTTGGCATCGCATCTTGACTGTTTTCAATCGCCTAGAGTATTTAAAAGTGAACTAAAAAACTGCCTTTAAGCTTACTTGTGATATTAGGGATAGGGTTGGGGCTTTTGATTTTTACCATTGTTAGTATTGTTTTTGTTCATTTATATATTATATCTTTTAATTCTTGTTTTGTACTTATAGGCATAGTTTATTTTTGATATATTTTTATTCTTGTCATATTTTTGTTATTGCTATTTTATTGGGCTGTTTAGCCCGTTGATAAATAAATAAATAAATAAACTCAATTATTTGTATTGGAATGGTCCCCCACTAGCCGTCAACTTAAAATCTAATAATAAACCTATTAATACAAAACAGTTTATTGACTTAAAAATTAGACAGTGTACTATAACCTTCTGTACATCTCATCATATATTATTAACGACACATTTTTCTTCCAGGGTATGGACCCGTTAGCGTCCACATCACCAGCCCCTTTTCGACCTATTAACAGCCGTTACCCCGACTGGAGATCGGTGGGCATGATAACGCCCCCTCCCCGCTATCGCGTCTGGCTATCTATAGTCAAATTTCACGCGGGCAACTCGTGGGATCCCCAGAAACCCGACAGGATGTGCAGAAGTTATCTGAACGTGTGGGACGGACAGTTGTGGCAGCCGAGCAATTGCGAAGGTCTCTTTTGGTAAGTGAGATTTATATGTATTATTCAATTATTATCCCACCTATCTGGCCAAATATCTTATAGGTAAAATCCGATTCTTATAGAACTCTTTACGTAAGAGCAAATGACATAGTTAATTTTCTTCTTAATATGGTGTAAAATAAAATTTAGGAACTGACACTAAGCGATAGACCATAGTTATTTCTCTTACCTCTTGCAAAAGTTTAAATGTGTAATAGGTAGCTCAGTTTTAAAATTGAACTGGTCTATACGATACGACCGGTTTCTGTGATAGTCAATAAGTTATTCCACTGGTCATCTTTACTGGCTGTTCGCTAATCGCCACTCATCGTATCGTTCGTTCGTGACCAATGACTATTTTACCATATTATTAACAGCTGGAAACAGAGTGGAAAGCTTAACAGAGTGGAAAGATTCTCCTTGTTTGGAAGCAGAAAGTATTTGGTTCTAATTAATAATTGATAAGGAGCAATTAACGAGGAACATCTTCTGGCACTTCAAGCAATATTTGCTCAAGATTTCTTTAACATTCAGTTTATACTCAGGAGACTATGTGCTATATTCCAAGAATGGGGAGGAGAAGACAGTCTACAAAAAAATCCTAAATAAAAATAAAATTTAATTCGGACGCAAAATTTAATATTCTAGTTGACAAGGCACAAATACAACATGTGCATAGTACACACATTCAAATATGTTGGGATCTATCTTCTTCTTCTTACTGTGCCTTGTCAGGTTCCCCCGATGTTGGTCAGGATGGCGTGCTTATCCTTGTTTTCAGCCACGCTAAATAATTGTTCGGCGCTATGGATGCCTGTCCATTCCCGGATGTTTCCAGGAGATTTGTTTTCTTCCTACGCCCCTGCGGCCCTCTGTTTGTAGAATCCAGTAACGATTTCCTCTAAAAACATGGCCAAAGTATGACAGCTATCGGCATTTAACTGTTGTCAAAAGTTCACGAACTGCATTTCCCCTGTTTAAAACTGCTTCATTTCTTTGCATTCATCTATGTAACCACATTTCAAATGCTTTCAGACGGTTGATTGTGGCAGCTTTGAGTGTCAAGATTTCAGCCCCGTTTAACATCATAACCGTATAACAGCACAGACCAGATGTAACATTTATTTATTCTTTGTCTCAGTTTTAAGTTAAGGCTATCGTTACAAACCAGTGATCTCATCTTCTGGAGTATTGTACGAGCCGATTCAATCCTGCATCTAATTTCCTTATCCGAGTCCAGTCGCTCAGTGATGTAGCATCCAAGGCGTTGAGGTATGGCTGGTGGCTGGTGGCTAAAGACCATGAACTTTATCTTAAAAACATTTATATCCAGTCCCATTTCGTATCCCATTGCATTAACAGAATCTATGAGATTTTAGAGACCCAGGATTTATGTTGTTGGAATTTATATTCAATAAAAATAAAATTAGTGCTAAGAGATAAGAGAGATAATTCAGAATGCAAGAAAAATGGTAGGGTCACTCAACTCGTCCTGGTGGAACAAATATACAAACATGTCAAACATTAAGAACAAAAAATATAATGGCCAAACAATGGTAGAATCGATCTTGAGGAAACTGGAAACACTGCAGCGGCACTGAATTATTATTTTAGCTACCTACTTCCTAAAATTTTAAAAATTAAATAGTTCTTTTATAATATAATAATAGCTCCCGTATATAGCGTATAACGCCTTGGGAGTAGCAAGGTACAACTTGCCATACTAGCTAGCATTACGCTTCACCTGCCTATTATTACCTCAGGATTGTGAATCCTAAGTACTCATTTAAGGCTGAGTCGACCAAGGTACTAACCTAGGTCGACACTATAAACTAAACTATTTTTATTTTAATAAAAATAGTCAGAGAATATTAGATATAATAATTAGGGATAATAATTGAAATAGCCAGATCTTCATAAAAAGTGCAAATCTGTTGATATAAAATGTAAGCTCTGTCCGCATTTACATATATTCGATACCAAATTGAATATACTACTAGAATTCACACTTAGAATAATCGGATCAATGTCCTCTCGTCACACCCCTCCGTTTTGCCTTCTTGGCGCCAATTAGCAACCGAGCATTGCTATTCGAATTTATGTACATATATCAAATAGTAGCAACGCAGTTACAGTGACGTAATATGCAAACCGATAATTGAGCTATTGTCGCTAGCGGAACGGTCGCAACCCGGCCAACAATTTGTAATAAATCTGACGTGATTATCGAAAATTAGAACTTATTTGTTGCGTGTAATTGCAACAAGTTGATTTGCAAAGGACCAATTAACGAAATAATCATATTGCATTGAAATTATTTATACAGCAATATACAGCAATACTATTTGAAAGCAGCAGTTCAGTTAACTTATTAAGAATAAGAATTAAGAATGGATAGGTTATTGGTTCATAATAAAAATTGTTGAGTTGTTTACCTTGTGTATATACAGGGTGATTCACTGGCACGTTAGACGTTTATGGAGAACCGGTGATAGGATTTTTTTGAAAATTTGTATTTTTGCATAAAGGCACCGGCTCCATCTGTTCAAATTATTTTCAGCATTACTGTGTTGTCGCTTCACACTAAAAGTGGTAACATCTTTGTTATTTTAAATGGAACACCTGGTATATTATTACATTTTTGAAAACTACTTTGATATCTTATAATTTTTATATTATACTAACCTATCCCTATCTTTGATAATTTTCGAGGTAAAAACTAAAACATGTGTAAAATTGACAAAAACATGATCTTGAATTGATTAAATCATAAATTCGGCATATTGAAAGCTGAAATTTGGTTTATAGATTAAAGAAAGTCGGCATATCCAGCTTTATCTAAATCAACTGAATGGATATCAAACACGAAGGTCAGAAAAAATAATTATTTCCGTTTGTTATAAAATTACTCAAATCTTTGTTACTTTAAAGTCAACCCTATGAATTAGCGATGGGAACTATCGAATAAATTAGACTATCGAATGGTTACTGAATGAATAATTTCAACTATCGAATGGTTTTATTCGAATAAAATCATTCATTCATTTGTATACTAAAGCATATGTGACAACCTCGCCGTGCGACTAAATGGTTATCGTTGAGCCACAACTATCGAATGCTTTTGATAAATGAAATTTAGTATTTTAGTATTCGTTTGATTTTTGTGTGCGTGAGTGCATTATTAGTTCTTCCAAATTTTTATAACTTCGCCTTATAAATACTGTGCTATTTAAAATACTAAAATAGTATTTTTTTTTAATTGACGATTGTTTGCGTTTGCAGGTGGTCAAAATTTTTCCGAAAATTTGTGTGATTTTCCGTAGCCCGATCTTTCAATTATTTTATTTTATATGGTATATGGTCTATTTTTTAATGGGAAATTTTGAGAAGTAGCAATTTTTAAGAGAGATGAGATGAACTTAGAATTATTTTAAAAATACATATTTGTATTTTAGATGTTTTAATAATATGAATTAGTTGAACTTAATAGTCATATTTAAGTAATGTGGTTAAGTAAATGGTTATCGAACTCAAACTATGGGATGAGAAAATCAAATGCAAAATATATAGACGTACTATCCCTAACTAACTAAAGCCAAACAATAATATTCTTTGCTAATATCAACTAATACCAATATATGTCAACAGGGCCCTTCATAATGTATTTTCTGTGTAAATACTAGCACCTCAATAAAAAAATAATGTGTCCTTATCCTTATATGACTCCGCAAAAAATTAAAGATGCCGGCCTCTTTCATAGCATTGCCACCGACCGCTGTCGGGTTTCTCGGAAAGAAACCTACGTCGCCGGGCGGCAACTAAAATCCAGTTAATTTTTTGTTATAATCGATTCTGATGAATAAATGAATTTCATAAATGAATGAATTTTATAAATGCATGGTTTTTGCTGCTGAATTACTAGAATACAATATTTCAAAGCAGATGACGCATCTATTCGATAATTTTTATTCGAATAGTTTTCAACGAATGTTTTCTTACTAGCTATCGAATTATTCGAATGAATTGCAACTATCGAATGTTTCGATAGTATTCATTCGATAGTTCCCACTACTACTATGAATATTATTTAAAAAATCAAACCCCAAATAAATTGCTTTTCAACGATATATCATGTTCCTATACCTAAACCTTATAAATATTCAACCTTTATAAGTATCAATTAGAGTTTATGTGCTAAATTTATAAAATTGTCATGGTAACGAAATTCTTGGAATGAAACTATAATAATGAAATTATTAATACTTATTTAAATAGATCTATTTAAGAAACCTGAAGGTTTAGGTATAGGAACATGATATATCGTTGAAAAGTAATTTTATTGGTCTTTTAATTTTTGGAATAATATTTATAGGGTTGAATTTAAAATAACAGTAGTGGAAATAACAGTAATTACAACAGTAGTGGAAATCGACTGCAGTTTGTGGGCGGTGTTAGCGTTTTGCTGCGTTTCCATTTAATTTTTTTTTACTTTCCACAGGCGACCACATACATTTTTATGACTGTCATTGGAAAGCGGTCCGTGTGAGTTTAGTCTTAAAGTGCCACATACGAAGCGCGTAGTGACGAGTGCTGCATTCCATGAGTGTCTAATATGCTTTTGCAACACGAAATACGTTCTATACTTTTCCTACAACATCAAACACGATAAAGTTAATTCTTAAATGTTACCTACGATTATTATGTGTAACTAGCATAAAAGCATGATCTACATTGTACGTACAGTAAATAGCTTATTACACCACCGTAGGCAATATACACATAATACCAATATTAGTAGGCCGCAGATTCTCAACAAGAGAACTGTTTTGTAGTAGTTAAACACAAACAAACTTCTGACATTAACCAATAAAATTTAAAACTAAATTTTATCTTACTTGTGCTGGAAGGTAGAGCACGTAATTTGTGTTGCCAAACTCTTGGAATTCTGTATTTTTCCTTACATGCCTCCATATACCGTGTGGTGGATCGGAACGCGGGACGTAGGAAACTCCATGTAAATTTTGAAAATGTCAAATATTATCTCCCCAGATGATTTTATGCAAAAATTGTAATAGACTTTTTCGAAGAGGCGTTAAAGTTGTACTGTCATCTGGAATTTCGTTTTACTTGGAATACACTTCATACTTCCATGTACTTAATACCTTAGTGCTTTTAGTTTCAAACCTTTGGTTTATTCTTTAAACTGTTAACTTATTCGGTATCGTCTTTCCGGAGACTGAGCTGCGAACATATCTGGACAACAGAGCGGGAAGACTATTTCCAGCAAAATGCCGTTTAACCATTGTAATTTTATCAGAAGTTGCGAAATTCATAATTATTTTATACAAAATTACTTTCTAGTTTGTTTGGTACCTCAAATTTTTGTAAACAAAATGTAACATCGAATTTGACAATTACACAATCACATTTTTGCTGGTATTTTAATTGTAGCTTTCTCTGGGCCGTATTATAAATTTCACTAATTTAAAGATAGATTTTTGCAAATAACTTTTAAATGGCTATTCCAAAAGAAACGAAATTCTACACAAAAGTAACTTTAACGCCTCTTGCATAAAATAATCTGGGGAGAGTACCTTTATATGCCCAAGGCATGTACTGTGAGATTATTATTACTATAATTCAAACATTTAACAATTTAATATTGTTATTAACGACACTCAAAATAGAAAATATAAGTTTTTATCAATTTATATCTACATTATCGAATTATTTGTTTCAGCGGCCCCAAAGAGAAGTACAACCCTAAAGGATCCGGCGCCCCCGCCAAGTCAGTGTCCTCCTCCACCTCCTCCGGCGCTAAGGGTGGCAAAAACGTGACGCTCCTGGCCAGATTCTGCCGGGAGCACGTGCCTAGGAGCTGCGAGCACTCGCTATTGGCCAACGCCACGAGGATCACTCGACCGTGCAGCTTCACCGAGAGCTATCTCACGTCCGGCGACACCCTCACATTGGAATTAAAACTGGCTGACTCGACGGCCCTGAAGTAAGTAAGGATGGGTGGATGGTAATATAGGTTCAAGTGTCTATTCTCCGCATAGAGAATTGTGAGAAATCGTAGGGTGTAAGCGAACTTTCGTTAAAGGTTTTTGTTTTCGATATAAATTTGGAAGCATTATGTGCACATTTTCTGTATTAAAATTTTTCTTAGATAAAAAAGAGTTTTCTGTAACGTTTATAGCTTTGTGGTTAGGTTAGATATTTAAGAAAAAAATAAAAAGGATAGAAAAACGATATAATAAACAAAAATTGCTTCTTAGTGCTAAATTAATAATTTTTTGTACAAATTCTCCTCCCTTATTTTACACTCTTAGGAAATGAATGTCCGAAATATGCTTCTGAGTACTCTCTTTCCTTATTTACGGAACCTCGATACAAAATTTAACACTCCTAGGACTAATTTTATAAATTTTATACAAAATTTCACCCCATGAAATAAATTTCCGAAAATTGCTTCTAACTCTTCAATTTCGCTACTTAAGAGCCCCTGTGCAAAATTTGATACTTCTAGAACCATTCAAACATTTTTTTTATACAAACCTTCACCTGTAATTTCAGCCACTTAGGGAATTAATTTCCAATAAACTTTCCTGAGTACTTACTTTTACCACTCAAGGGACCACCACTGTGCAAAATTACATACTGCCAAGACGGATTTTACATAAAAATTATACAAATATTATCCCTAGTTTTACCCCCTTAAGGAATGAATTCTGAAAATCGTTCTATAACTATTCCATAAGGAACAACATATTAACAATAAAATTGAAAAAGATATAGAAATTTAATTCCACGCTGTGTTTGTCATAATGTGGATCAACCTGCTCTCACTACCGGTTTCAGAGCACTACTGCATCATCAGGGATGGATGTCTTGGGTCGATTCCACAAAATGACAAACACAGCGCAGCGTACCTAATTCCGACTTGTCGGAAAGTAGAAGTTAGATATTAAGTCCCGCACTATATCAGCAGTTAAGTGGCAAGAATTCTTATATAATTTTATTATATACCTATACTATAAGAAATTTGTTTTCCATTTCAACATATTAACGTTACATAAGGAACATCTTCATACTCCTAGGACAGATTTTTTTCAGAATGTTCACCCTTTATTTTACCCCATGAGAGGGCGAATTTCCAAAAAATTGCTTTTTAGTGCTAAATTATGTTGCATAACAAACGTCTGCGCAGGATTTTATACTTCTAAAACCGAGCTTTACAAATTTTTATACAAATTTTTACCCTTATTTCTTAGGGGATGAATATATAAAATTCACTTCTGAGTACTCACTTTCGTCACTTATGGAACCTCAGTGCAAAATTTTACACTACTGGGACTAATTTAAAAAAATATATATAAAATTTCACCCCCACTTTCAAATCATCTCCATTATTAAATCTTTTTATTGATAAATCTAAGAGACATAATCAAAACAAATCATTTTTTTAATATTGACAAATTGTCAAGAATTAAAAAAAACTTCATTATTTAAGCACAATATGTTGATTGAAAACATTGAATGGGGAAAATTCTCAAAATAAGGTTCATTCTAAGACCCCTAGAGACATTTTTTAAATGAATTTGAAAATTGAGGAATATAATGAACACGATATACAAAATATATTATTTTTTAACTTATAAAACTTATCTAATAAATATAAATTAAAACACCATAATTTCAGAAGAATAGAAGCTAAGATTCTAGTGACTATAATAATTTAAGTAATAAAACATGATCAGCAAAAAATGTCGCACTTTCATCATATAACACGTCTGGGAACATCCTCACATTGGTATTAAAACTGGCTGACTCTACAGCCTTGAAGTCAGGAGGGGAGGAGGGATGTTAATGTGGGGTTTGAGTATCCTATTCCCCTAGTAGGGATTGGGTAATCGTAATGTGTAGGCGACCTTTCGTTGAGGAAACGTGATATATTCGATAAATCAATTTAGAAGGGTCTCGTTAACATAATCGGTAAGTCATAATAGGTAATATTATGCAAAATATTTTTAAAAGAATTGTATTTTGAGATAAAAAGGTTTTATAACAATGTCGTGACATGAGCTATAATAGTTTAGTGAAGCCTTATATGCTGTTGGTTTATTGTTATTTTTAATATTTTTATTGCCAACAACGTTAAAAATAATTAGCTTTTCTATAGAATTCTAGAATAAAGATTCTATCTCTATTTTCAATATGACGTTGAAGTTTAGAAATTATTTAATATAGAATTATGTAGTTTTATTCTTTTTTCTATATTTAATATAATAATTAAAGATTACAACCAAAGTAAAATATATATGATAAAAAGCTTTTAAGATATAATCCTTAATAAATAAATAATGTTTGATCAATTTTCTTTCACACTAATAGTGGTACTTGTAGTCCATGTCCGGGCTGTAACCAGCCAAGGACACGACTAATTTTGTCAATGGGGTGAGATAATTCTTTGAATAATTCCGACAGTACCAAGCAACACTGCTTTTTGCATCCACATGATGGTCTTTTTCGGAAGGTTTAGTTCTCTGACATGTTAGTTATTATGCAGTGTATTTGCCGAACTTATTTTTTTTTGAAAATTAATATCCTGATCCGTAATTTTTATTTTCAGGCCTGTAAGTTTTAAAGCTCTCTACGAGTTTGTCGATCTGCATCAGGATGGTGAGGCTTTTGGTGAAGGCCCATGCTCAAGAAGATTCGGCTCATTATCTAACGAAGCGCAGCAAAAGTTTCGATCACCAGGTGATATTTTCCTGTATGGACGAGGTGGATCCAAAAATATCAGGTAGATAGATTATGTGGATCATAAGAACGTACATCGAACTAATTAAAAAAATATTCCAGTTGTATTTATCGGTTCGAAGCTCAGAAAGGCGAGAAAGTGAAAATCACTCTGACGGATGTGAAGATAAGGAACAGGAACTGCGATACAAGAGTTAGTCGAGATATTGAAAGGGTTGAATGCGTAGGAAACGTATCGGCGACTATACGATTGTTTGAAGTGCCTTGGAATGATGTACCACCAACACCCAGGTAAAATTCATTTATTAATGATTTGTCGTAAGTAAAGCAGATCAAGGGAATAAGTTAAAAAGAAATAATCATTTTTTTTTGTTTTCCTGCCTCGAAAGGCGCACTCTCACGACTCGTCTACTTGGCAAGTACGCCAATATTTGCGTACTTGGCAAGTATCCCCACCAGTCCCCACTTTGTAAACAAAATCGGCAAGTGTGGCGCTCACACGACGTGTCCATTTCAACAAGTACGCCAGCACAAATATTGTTTAAATACTTGCAAGTAAACAGTATAGTCGCATCGATGGATACGGGTCGTCCCGAAATTGTCGTTGCTAGTGATTCTTTTTTCTTTTAAGTTCTTTTACTGTACACTGCAATACGATTTCTATATTCTTTATGTCTGGCCATCCATATGAAGAACTCAGTTTCGTATAAATCCATAAATTCCAAATCAACATCATTTGAAGACTACACGGGAAAACCCAGATTTGTCCATTTTAATTGGAGCCGAGAAAAATGCAATTTAGTGTTTTTAAATAAATATGTTATTTTCGGTTGAATAATTAGAAAAATATATATTACTACCAATTCTGAATTATTAATATTGTGAATTATCGCCATATTCTGAAATACCGAAATAAAAATGTCAAAATGCAAAACAAAACAGGAGAAAATCAGGGATGTCCAATTAAAGGTTGTATAAAACCTAAATCTAAACTATTATTTTTTTTTGTTGTAGGAAGAAAATTAATATTTAAGTAGGTTTTTATTACAATACATAAATTTATAACATATAATACTAATTTCAAGATGCATATGCTTGTCGCCCATGCGTAAGTAGTGTAAGTCTGGTTTTTGCCCTTTACCCATGGACTACTCAAGTTTTTCCTTTATACGGCAAAACAACCAAGCTGTAATATCTCTGGGACTAAGCGTATTATTGCTTTCTTTTTTCTCGAATGATATTAACATTTGTCTATAAAGTTGTGTCGCTATCTTAATTTCTATGAGAATGTGACATGGTTTTTCCAGTGCAGTCTTCATTAATTTGTCCACTCCATTTATTGCTCTGACAACGATTTAGGTATGTCGCCAATATTGAAGTTATTAATGTAAATTGATATTATATAATCTTTTATTGTTTTAATTTGATAAGAAACCGGAATCGCCGAATATATCGAATCTGTCGCCTCCAATTTTTCATCAAATTTGCCATAGTAATTCCATGCACTACAATCTACGGTACATAATATTAAAATTGGGAGCACAACTTACGACATAATGCGGCTAAAATTGTTTTAACTAATAACCAATATTAATAAAAAAAAATATATTGGGAGAACACTGAATTGATTTAGATATAAGCAAAGCCATGTGAAAATTAAATAATTTTTATCTGAGACCTATGCAAAATATCTAAAATGCATCTAAAATGCATTTTTACCTAATAAAGCAATTTATTATTATTATAACTGGTTTATTTAATTTTTATGCTTTTTACATATTTTTCTTCCCAGAGATTGTCTTTGCGGAGTCGACAAAACACGCCTACTACCTTACACTTACATCTCGTCTTCCAACATCGTGGAATTGAGATTTGACGTGACAGGAATGAATTCCAGTGACGACTTGAGCACGCTTTTCTTCGAGGGCAGTTGGAAATTTATTAGGACACCCACATGCGAGCTGGACCTTCGCAATCGAGGAGCTAACGGCGAACTCATCTTCACGCATCCGGCTGAAAGAAGAGAAGTAAGTAGCTGATCATTAACATTTTAACTTATGTGTTGGAAAATCTGGAAGAATATATATGACAGTGAAAATTAAATATTATTGAAATTCCATTTTACAAAAATTATCAGCTGTAAATATTTTTTTAAATCTACAAATTTCAGTGTAACTGTTTCATTTTTAGTATGTTGCTATCAGTGTCTAAAATGTAATTTTATGACACTAGCAGTCTTAATAGCCCAGTCAAACTGGAGGTTGAGGTGGAAAAAAACTAAAGACTCGGTTTTTGTGGAGTTATTAAATTGTAAATACATTTTACTTTACATAATTTTTTCTCTGAAATAAATATTAACGATAGATATGAGATAATAAAGCTATTTTTAGTTTATCTCGAGGTTTATCTATTAAAGATTTTCCACCCCTTTTATTAAACCAATAAACTATAATAGGTATTTACACTGAAAGTGTATTTTAAATAAGGCTATACTTAAACTGCCGTTAAACGGTAGCTTACTAAAATGCCGTTAATAGGTATGACGTCGTTGATGTGACGCACTTGACGGCTTTATGAAATATAGGAATTTTATAAGGACTAACCAACGCTATCCACCCCACCAAATAACCAACTTAACCAACGCAACTAACCTCGACACTGATAAAAAATATAAAAAACAAATATAAATTAGTAAAAATCAACCAACCCCACCAATAACCAACTAACCAATGAATTAACACCCTCCAAATAACCACGCTAACCAACCCGCCAAATAACTAAACCAATCCAACCAAAAAGAGTGAAACGCTATAAGCAAAAAAAAAATATAAAAAAGTCTTGGTCGGCGTGAGATTTGAACCACGGACCATTCGCTTACGAAGTGATAGCCTCAGCCACTGACCCACAGGTGCTCTTGCAAAATGCTTAAGGCTAGGCATTACTTTCCGCCGACATGAACGACGTCACAATATCTATTAACGGCATTTTAGTAGGCTACCGTTTAACGGCTGTTTAAGAACATCGTTTAAATAAAGACAAACCAAGTATAAATTTAAGTATCAAAATGATAAAAATAAGGATTTTAAAAAAAATTATATATTATGACGTTATCATGAGCTTCATTTTCGTCCTCAACTAAAAATACAAAAGTTTTTGCAACTAATTTCATAATAATGATCAACTTCGATGAATATTTGAGTCCCACTATTCTTCATCAGCGTTTTTCAGAGGATTAGAATCTCTTTGCAAGTGCAAAAAATTAATTTTAGTTGATCCGCAGGCGTCTCTTGATTGTATAGATACATTTTTGGACCTTTTTGCCCAATGCAAAATATCTAGCTTGTTACCAATCCATTCTTGAAACTAAAAAAACAAAATTTATCACATTTGCAATAGTTCCTTGCATCTTTACCGCTAACTGGAAGCATATGCTGACTAGATAAAGTTGTGCAGGGTCCTCAGTTGGAGGCTGTGTTTACAACCTAACCAAAATGATTAGCGCAACGTGCGTCCAGTGTAAAAGTAAAAATATTTTGATGTTTTGTGGTGATTTAGTATTTTGTTGGAAAATCCTCAAAAGGAAAATTTTACTCCTCCAACTCCCAGTGGATGACATATCAAGAATGTACAACTTTGAGAAACACCTCATTGTAGTATGGTTGTGTGTAAGGACTGGAGGAGAGAAACGTTTGTTCACCATGTAAAAGACCATACCATAACGTGGTATACTAATGCCTCCAAAACCAGTTTGCGAAACCAGTTGCTAGCGAAATGCGCGTCCAGTGTAAAAGTAATAATGTTTTGGTGTATTGTGGTAATTTAGTATTTTATTTTGTTGGAACACCCTCAAAACGAAAATTTCACTCCTCTAACTCCAAGTGGATGACATACCAAGAATGTACAACCTTGAGAAAGTATGGTGCAATAAAAAGGATTGGAGGAGAGAAAGGTTTGTTCACCAGGTAAAAGACCATACCATAACGTGGTATACTAATGCCTCCAAAACCAGTTTGCGAAACCAGTTGCTAGCGAAATGCGCGTCCAGTGTAAAAGTAAAAATGTTTTGGTGTATTGTGGTAATTTAGTATTTTATTTTGTTGGAACACCCTCAAAACGAAAATTTCACTCCTCTAACTCCAAGTGGATGACATACCAAGAATGTACAACTTTGAGAAAGTATGGTGCAATAAAAAGGATTGGAGAAGAGAAAGGTTTGTTCACCAGGTAAAAGACCATACCATAACGTGGTATACTAATGCCCCCAAAACCAGTTTGCGAAACCAGTTGCTAGCGAAATGCGCGTCCAGTGTAAAAGTAAAAATGTTTTGGTGTATTGTGGTAATTTAGTATTTTATTTTGTTGGAACACCTCAAAACGAAAAATTTCACTCCTCTAACTCCAAGTGGATGACATACCAAGAATGTACAACTTTGAGAAAGTATGGTGCAATAAAAAGGATTGGAGGAGAGAAAGGTTTGTTCACCAGGTAAAAGACCATACCATAACGTGGTATACTAATGCCTCCAAAACCAGTTTGCAGAAACCAGTTGCTAGCGAAATGCGCGTCCAGTGTAAAAGTAAAAATGTTTTGGTGTATTGTGGTAATTTAGTATTTTATTTTGTTGGAACACCCTCAAAACGAAAATTTCACTCCTCTAACTCCAAGTGGATGACATACCAAGAATGTACAACTTTGAGAAAGTATGGTGCAATAAAAAGGATTGGAGGAGAGAAAGGTTTGTTCACCAGGTAAAAGACCATATCATAACGTTGTATACTAATGCCTCAAAAAACAGTTTTAATCATCTGCTGATGATGCTAACATGGTTAGCGAAATGCGCGTCCAGTGTAACAATAAAAGTGTTTTGGTGAATTGCGGTGATTTAGTGTTTTATTTTGTTGTGTAATACCAAAGGTTCCAACCCCCAAATGTAATGATTAATACCTTTATATGGCTTGAGCAGTGATAAAAGACAACTTGGAAATTGGAAAATGGACATTATGAAAAACACTTATTGTTTATACATGCCATATCGGGCTGTGATATTCCATTTAATAAATTACCTTTTTAAAAATCTTCAAAAGCTAGTATAAAAAAGTTTAGGAAAAATAATGTAAGCCTGGATGACCCCCCACCAACCCTCTATTTATTTATTAGAACTATAGTCAAAATATTTCTAAACTAAATCCACTTTTATTTATAAGATCTCTATTAGCGCATTGTGGGCATGAAAAGCTTCAAAAACGATCTTATAACGTACTCGCGGTGTGCTATTATGCCCAAAGGGCGCTCACAATAAGAAAGAAAAGTTTATAAATTCCTCCCGTTTCCTCGAGCCAAGCTGAATTTTAAATTAAAAGCCAGTGTAGCGTTTCATGTTTACACGTCTATCCAGTCCGCTCCCCTGTCTTCGCAATTTCCTGTTTCTCGCGACGAAGAATCGATGGAAAAGAACTGGAGCAGCCTTTTTCCAATCGGTATACAGTGTAGAACAAACTTAGTCAGTCAATAAAACCCCCAAGAATTTGTTTTCGAACTACTTAAAGTGGTAAAAAAGAGTTATATTATGTCGCCAGAGCCACTTGCAAGATTTTTGTTTATTTTTGTCAACTACATCATCATCATTTTCAGCTTATTCAACCATATTCAATTATGGTGTAGCCTCCCCCACATACATTTAGATACTCTCTTTGTAGTTGGGCCCATGGCCCATAGTTGTCTATTGTGCGGGCCTAAATTATCCCTGCTTTCCTAATAGCATGATTCCATCTTAAGTTTGGTCTTCCACTAGGTCTCTTAATTCTTCGTCGGTACCATGCTGTAATTTTTGTGGCCCATCTGTTGTCCGTCCTTCCTGCCAGGTGTCCTACCCATTGCCACTTGAGGGATTTGGTTCTGTAGATAACATATCTAGGCTCTCGTCTACCAATCTCAAGGTAGTGGGTTCGAATCCTACACCCGGCATTTCATCAGCCGACTATTTTTATTAAAATAAAAATAGTTTGGGTACCTAGGTCGACTCAGCCTTAAATGAGTACTTGGGATTTCACAATCCTGAGGTAATAATAGGCGGTTCAAGCGTAGTGCTAGCCACATTACCTTCCTTGTATACCGAACGGCTCTAGCATGGCAAGATGTACCTTGCTACTCCTAAGGCGTTAAACGCTATCTACGGCTATTATTATTAGATAACATCTATTACATTGGTCTTTTGTCGCATCCATTCATTCTTTTACGGTTTCTCTTGATTATTCCCAGCATATTTCGTTCCATTGAGCATTGTGCGACCTGCAGTTTCTTTATGTCTGTTTTAAGTGTCCATGTTTCAAATGCAAGTCATCACTGGTTGTACATATTGGTCGAATGTTTTCCTCTTTAGATAAAGTGCCAATTTAGATTTGAATATGATTGTGTTTCTCCTATAAGTACTCCATGCCAACTTATTTCTTCTGTTGATTTCTAGTAGTAGAGATCCCGTGCTGTGTATTAGTTGTCCCAAATATATTAAAGTAATATACAGGGTGAGTCTTAAATAAGTGCAAATATTCTCAGGGCTGGTAGGTCTCGATAAAAGAAACATAATTTTTCTTTACCGTTTTTCAAATAAGTTCAAAATATGTAACCGAGTTATTTTACTTTGAAAATTAAAAAAAATGTTTTTTGGTTGAATTGTGAGAACCACTGAATCTTTTCTGGTTTTTTTTTCTTGTGAAATTAATCTATTTCTTATGTTGTCATATTATCAAGAAATTATGTTTTTTAACTAAAAACTAAAAAAAAATCTAAAAATTTTTTTTTCAAAAAATTCCAAATTTTCAAAATTTTCTTTTACGCGAAAAAATCTCATAATTGTGTTTCTGGAGTCGAAATATACTACCCCTACAATATTTGTACTTATTTAAGACTCACACTGTATAATTATAAATAATTATTAAGAAGTATCCTTCTACTATTTCTAGTGCTGTGTGATTTATTAGAATGTATTTTCTGTCTACTAGTGCGTTATTGTCAACTACTTATTGCCAT